TTTAATTCACGCTTAGTTTTTTCTAGAACCCACAACTGCAATAAGTGTCCCACACAATGAGGCCATAACTTCTAAAACTCTCAGAGTATCCTGATGAAATTTTGAGAGTTTTAAAACGGAGGTCTTCTATTGAAGTTATGTGTATCTGGATATTTGTAGCTCCTCAATTACCCAAGATATGACCATAGGAAGGCAGGTGCGGAAAAATGTTAAATTTTTGGGACTTTTGAGTAATCTTTTTCCAGAGGCCATAACTTCGGAGATAGTTGATGTAGCTTCGTGAAATAAATTGATTTTGAAAGGTAAGACATTTGCTCTTAGAATTCCATGCAAAATTTCTGCTGAAATTTTTAGCAACATTTTTAAAATTTATTTTAATTCAAGCTTAGTTTTTTTCTAGAACCCACAACAGCGATTAGTGTCCCACTCAATGAGGCCATAACTTCTAAAACTCTCAGAGTATCCTGATGAAATTTTAAGAATTTCAAATTGAAGGTCTTCAATTGAGGAAATGGGTATCGGGATATTTGTAGGTCCTCAATTACCCAAGATATAGCCAAAGGAAGGCAGGTACCGAAAATGCTAAATTTTTCGAACTTTTGAGTAAACTTCTTCCAGAGGCCATAACTTCGGAGATAGTTGATGTAGCTTCGCAAAATAAATTGATTCTGAAAGACTAGACGTTTGATCTTAGAATTCTGTGCAAACAATCTGCTGAAAAATTTTGCAACATTTTTAAAATTTATTTTAATTCAAGCTTAGTTTTTTCTAGAACCCACAATTGCAATTAGTGTCCCACTCAATGAGGCCATAACTTTTAAAACTCTCAGAGTATCCTAATGAAATGTTAGGAGTTTCAAAACGAAGGTCTTCTATTGAAGTTATGTGTATCTGGATATTTGTAGCTCCTAAATTACCCGAGATATTAGCAAAGGAAGATAGTTACTGAATTATGACAAAATTTGTAGGTTTTTGAGTATTCGTCAGCCATTAGCCATAATTTTGAAAATAATTTGTGTAGCTTTGTGAAATAAATTGAGTTTGGAAATTTAGAATCGACTTCTCATTATTTTATATATAAGAAAAAATTAACACAAATCATTTGTTATTTGAAAAATTATCTTTTCAAAAACTGAGGACAGATTTTTGTGGTTATTCCGTTTTTTTATAATTTGTTAATGACAAATGCTTAATTTGCTTTGTCAAATATTCACTTGCATTATTTTGTTTTTAGACTTCAGTCTGAATTTTTGATGACTTTGCCTCGCAAAAAAACCATAAATCAAACAAATTATGAAATAAAATTAGCATAAGTTCTGCACTCATGACAAAATTTGTTTTGGTCCAATTTTTCATTTTAATTTGTTTCGTCTGTATTGCTCAACATTCAACCATCCTCCATTCTAAATTTTTCAAAGCAAAGAAATAAAAAAATACGAAATCCATTATAAAATTTAGATTAAGAACATATGGTAATGCAAAGATAGCGCGATCTTTTTAGAAGCTTAGAGAATTACAATTATAACGGTTTAATGCGTCAAATATGAAAAAAGAAATAAGAAAAAATATGATAAAGAGAAAAACTCCAACTGCAGATCATAAAACAGAAACTTGACCAGCAACAAGAATAACAACAATAAAAAAATATTTGACCACAATAATAACAACAACACCAGCAATGTTGGGAACTAAGACTGGCGGACAAGAACAAACGAACCTGAGGTTTTGCCACACAAACGACAACCTTCTGGCAGCTTAGCATAGGGGTTGCCATGTTGTGAAAAATGTTTTTTATTAAAAAAATCCACATTGCCCTGGGTTAAAAAAAGAAGTATTTCAACCCTCGAAAAAAATAATTTTTTTGAAATCCTCATCCTTTGACCCCCACGTTTTTTTTCAAAAATATTTAAAAAAAATCAAAAAAATAAAATAAAATCACCAAATATTGGGCTCTTAGAAAAATGTGTTTTTATACCCTCCACCATAAAATGGAGGATATGCATTGAAACTGGGTTATATTGGTTCACGTATAGCCCCCATAAAATCGTACCTCCCGATTTTAAAGTTTTTGCAGCCATAATTTTCAACCAAAGTAGCTGAAACTTGTCACTTGGGGCTCTTGGTAGGTCCTTTCTATTATGGCAATTCAGCTTTACTAATTGTTATAGCCTCCATAGAACGGTACCCTTCCGATTTTCGGTATTTTGAAGGTTTCTGCCACAATTTTCAACCAAATTAGCTAAAACTTGACATTTGAGGTTCTTGGCAGGTGGGTTCTCTCCTTGCAAAAAACATTCGCTACAGGTCCACGAATTTATATAGCCCCCATATAAAGATGCCTACCGACATCCGGTATTTTGAAGGTTTCTGCCACATTTTCCAAACGAATTAGCTGAAACCTGGCTATTGAGACTCTTTGTATGTCTGTTTTCTTCTTGCAAAAAATATTCGTTACAGGTGCACTAATTGATGTGGCGCACATATAACGCCACCCTTCCGATTTTCGGTATTTTGAAGGTTTCTGCCACAATTGCCAAATAAATTTAACAATTGGGGTACCTGGTAGGTCCTTTATATCCTTGCCAAAAATTATCAATTCAGCTTCACTAATTGGTATAGCTCCCATAGAACGGTACCTCCCGATTTTCGGTGCTTTGAAGGTTTCTGCCACAATCTCCGAACAAATTAGCTAGAAATTTTATGTGCAGGGTTTTTGGTAAGGCTTTTTTCTCCTAGCAAAAAAAAAAAAAATCGCTAGAGGTCCACTAATTGAACTTTACATTTGGGGTTCTTGGAAGGTCTGTACTCTTTCGGCAAAAAATATTCGCAACAAATCCACTAATTGGTATAGCCTCCATAGAACAGGACCGCCCGATTTTTGGCTTTTTTAAGGTTTCTGCCACAACTTCCAACCAAATTGGGTGGAATTAGGCATTTGGTGTTCTTGGTAGGTCTGTTCTCACCTTGCAAAAAATATTCGCTACAGGTCCACTAAATGGTACAGCCCCCATAGAACAGGACCTCCCGGTTTTCGGTATTTTAAAGGTTTCTGCCACAATTTCCAACTAAAGTAGCTGAAAATTGACATTTGAGGCTCTTGGTAGATCCGTTCTCTCCTAGCAAAAATGTTCGCTACAAGTCCCCTAGTTGCTATAGCCTCAATAGAACGGCAGTTTCCGATTTTCGGTACTTTAAAGTTTCTCCCACAATTTCCAACCAAAGTAGCTTAAACTTGACAAATTGGGTTCTCGATAGGTCTGTTCTATCCTTGAAAAAAATATTCGCTACAGGTCTACCAATTGGCATGGTTCCCATATAACGGTACCACCCGATTTTCGGTATTTTGAAGGTTTCTGCCACAATTTTCAACCAAATTAGGTGGAACTTGACGATTGGGATTCTTGAAAGGTCTGTTCCTTCCTTGCAAAAAATATCCGCAACAGGTTCACTAATTTTTATAGCCCCCATAGAAAGGTACCTCCCGATTTTTGGTATTTAGAAGATTTCTGCCACAATTTCAAGCCAAATTAGCTGAAAGTCGACATTTGGGGCTCTTGGCAGGTCCTTTATATCTTTGCCAAAAATGATCAATTTATCTCCACTAACTGGTATAGCCTCCATAGAAGTGTACCTCCCAATTGTCGGTATTTTGAAGGTTTCCGCCACAATTTCCAACCAAATTAGATGAAACTTGACATTTGAGGCTCATGGTAGGTGTGTTCCCTCTCAGCGAAAAAATATTTGCTACAGGTCCACTAATTGGTGTGGCGCCCATATAACGATACCCTTCAGATTTTCGGTATTTTAATGGTTTCTGCCAAAATTTCCAACCAAATTAGCTAAAACTTGACATTTGGGATTCTTGAAAGGTCTGCTCTCATTCTGCAAAAAATATTCGCCACAGGTCCACTAATTGATATAGACCCCACACAACAGTACCTCCCATTTTTCCACGTTGTTTGTCAAAAGTCCAAATGTAGGGTTTCACAAAAAAACTTTTTATACCCTCAACCAATCGGAAAAAAACATAAAAAATTAAAAAAAAAGAAATCCGTCGAAAAATACCGCTCAAATAAAAACCTTTATATTGGGGCTATACGAAGACGTGGTGCTGGATAAGTATTTTTCTTCCATAGGCTGCAGTATACATTAGGAACTTCAAATATGAAATTTGACGCAAATCCGGTGAATAATGTCGCGAAAATCCTGGAAATACCGAATATCTCGGGTAGTGTTATATGGGTGCTATACCAAAACTTAGACCAATATTTCTTGCTAAAACCTCGCTAGGGGTCTTGTAACATTTTTTTTTTTTTTTCATAAATCCATGATTCTGGTTCTTCAAAATATGTTTTTTTTTTAATTTTTTGGCACTTTTAAGAAAAAAAAAATATTGGGTTTTTAAAAAAAAAAATTAATTTTTTCAAAAAAAAAAAAGGAAAAAATAATATTTAGAAATAATATTCTTTAAAAATATTTTATTTAAATATACATTTTATTTAAATAAATTGGGTCCTTTTTTCTTCGTTTATTTGGGTGTATTTTATTATAACCACTTTGGCAACTCTGCAGTCCAGCAATTTCTCTCGCTGGTGTTCTCTGTTAATAACATTTCATTTAACTGTTTCAGTCAGCTGTTCTAAATCGTCATCTCATTTAAATGACAAACAATTAAAACAAACACACAAACACAGGCTCAAAAATTAATGTAATAAACAACAATATCAAATTTGTTGCAAATTACAAAAAAATAATAATAATAATAATTTTTCGTTGTTGCAAAATAGCTAGGCTTAATCCCATTATTATTGTTTTATAAAAAAATATTATATTTATTAATTTTAATTTTATAATTTTTTGTTATTTTATATATATTTTTATTATATTTTTTGTTGTTGCGAACTGGTCAGGTTTAATCCCTTTATTGTTGTTTTTATAAAAAAACTTTTATTTTTTAAATGAAACTTTTACAAAATTTTATAATTATTTATGACATTCACCTTTAATTACGTTTGTTGCTTTTCTTCTCTTCTCTCCTTTCCTTCTAATTTTTTTTCACTTTATAAATCTCAAAATTTCTTTTTATTAAAAAAGAAATTTCATTATTTTTATTTGTTTCGTTTTACTAACAAATATTAATTTTTCTCACTGCAAATATTTCAATTTTTAATTTTTTTTTAACTTTTTCTTCACCACCTCCAGCAGAAAAAAAAACTGCTGATTTGTGCAATAACTTGTTTGGCTTTAATTTCTGTTATTATTTACTTCGCACTTCGTTAATTCTTTCTTTTTTTTTCTCTTCTTAATTTACATTCATTAAATTTCGCATTTCTTTTTTTTTTCGTTTTGTTTTTTCTTTTATTTTTTTTTTTTTTTCAATTTTTCTTTTTTTTATTCAACTATTTAATCCCGCAATATCGCTGGCTGGAGCAAAGTTTCAAACGTAAAATTACAGGAAAACAACAAAAAATATTTTACAACCGTCCGCCACAAACAACCGTTCGCTTTAAAACTCGTTTTAAAACTAAATATTTGAATTCCAGTCTATTTTCATTCGAGCAACAGGCAGCAAGCAGCAACACGTTGTTGGCTGGGTTGTTTGTTTGTTTGTTTTTGTTTTAGTTTCATTGGCCATGCTAAGTGCAACAACAACAAACGAAGTGTGGCTGTTAATAACAGTAACTTCAAAGCTCTCACGGCACTCAAACCAACCACTCAGAGCGAGAGAGAGAGAGAGAGAAGGTGAGAGTTAATCCACCACTCAAAAGTGGTGGAAGTGTCATAGAGTTGTCGTTTCATTTAAATTGTATGTTGGAAATTAATTATGGATTTTTTAGCGACTTTTTAAAGAAATTATTAAAATTAAATAAATATTAAAAAAATGATGATAAAAATAATTATTTTAACAAGAAAATATAAAAAATAATAATAATAAAAATCTATACATTTAAAAGAGTAGTGAAATAACTGAGTGAATGACTGACCTAGAATAAATGCTCAGACGAAACGGCTGAAGCTAGAATCTTGAAATTTTGCACGAGGCCCAGTCTTGGGGTGTAGGCGTGTGTTAAGGCTGGATTTTTGGAAATTCGTAGTTAAAGGGTACGAAAAGTACTAAAATGTACTAAAAGTTGAATATTGGACAAATAGAAAAAAAAATAAGTAAAAAAGCTGTAAGTTCGGCCGGGCCGAACTTTGAATACTCTCCACCATTTGGTAAAAATTTGGCAATTTTCAAAAAAATAAAATCCGTTAAAATCTTGAAAATACCGAATGTAGCCGTATATTTGTCACTAGCTATTGCAATATTCAAATGCGAAACTTGAAAAAAAAATCTGTTCATAATGGGGGCTATACGAAGACGTGGACCTACATGGCTCATTTTCTGCCTTAGGATGTAGTATCCATTACGAACTACAAATACCAAATTTGAAATAATTCCGGCGAATAATGATGCTAAAATCATGAAAATACCGAATATCGGGGGGTACCGCTATATGGGGGCTATACGAAGTCGTGGACCTGCACAGACAATTTTCTCTCATAGGCTGTAGTTTCCATTAAGAACATCAAATACCAAATTTGAAACATTTCCGTTAAATAATGTCGCAAAAATCATCAAAATACCGAATATCGGGAGGTGCCGTTATATGGAGGCTATACGAAGACGTGCATCTACATGGCTCATTTTTAGTCTTAGGAGGTAGTATCCATTACGAACTTCAAATACCAAATCTGACACATTTACGGTAAATAATGTCGCTAAAATCATCAAAATACCGAATATCAGGAGGTACCTTTATATGGGGGCTATACGAAGGCGTAGACCTGCACGGACAATTTTCAGTCATAGGCTGTAGTATCCATTACGAACCACAAATACCAAATTTGGAAGAATTCCGGTGAATAATGTCGTTTATATCACCAAAATACCGAAAATTGGGAGGTACCTTTATATGGGGGCTATACGAAGGCGTGGACCGACATGGCTCATTTTCTATCTTAGGAGGTGGTATCCATTACGAACTTTAAATACCAAATTTGAAACAATTCCGGTGAATGAATTCGCCAAAATCATCAAAAAACCGAATATCGGGACGTACCGCCATATGGGGACTATACGAAGTCGTGAAGCTGCACAGACAATTTTGTGACATAGGCTGTAGTATCCATTACGAACTTTAAATACCAAATTTGAAACAATTCCGGTGAATAATGTCGCTAAAATCATGAAAATACCAAATATCGGGGGGTACCGCTATATGGGGGCTATACGAAGTCGTGGACCTGCACAGACAATTTTCTGTCATAGGCTGTAGTATCCATTATGAACTTTAAATATTAATTTTGAAGCAATTCCGGTGAATAATGTCGCTAAAATCATTAAAATAGCGAATATAGGGAGGTACCATTATATGGGGGCTATACCAAAACGTGGAGCCACATGTTCCATTTTCAATACCAAAAGTCCTACAGACATAATACACATTTGAGTAAAATTTTATCAACCTCCTTCATTTCGTTCGGAAGTTAGAAGGATTTTCACAAACGGACAGATTGATAGACGGATGGACGGACATCGCTAAATCGATATAGAATTTTGTGGTGATCAAGAATATATATACATTATGGGGTCTACAATGTATATAGCGAGGTGTTACAAACGGAATGGCAATCCTTACATACCCTGAATACTATATGTTGTACTACAACTTGTAGATAGTATAACAAAACCTCATTGTTGTGTAATGTTAAGCTTCCATCTCTGTTGGGCATATTGCTACGCATTAGTATAATTTGTAGCATACCTTCGGGCGCGTATGGAAAAGCTACAAACTAATGAATTCGAATGGAAGTCAACAAGTTGTAGGGCGTATTTACATACATCTCTGACAATTGTATATTTATAAAACATTGTGAGGGGGAATTCTTATTTTCTTACAAAAAAAAAAAAAAAAAAAAAAAAAAAAACAAATAAATAAATAAATAAAAATAAATAAATAAATAGAATTAAAAAAAAACTAAATAAAAAAATTAAAATAAAATAAATAAAAAATACATAAATAAATTTAACAATATTATAAAATAAAAAAAAATAAATAAAAAAATTAAAAATAAAAAATAAGTAAGTTAATAAAATAAATAAATAAATTTAACAATATTATAAAATAAAATAAATAAATAAATAAAAAAAAATTAAAAATAAAAAATTAAGTAGGTTAATAAATAAATAAAAAAATAAATAAAAAATAAGTAAGTTAATCAAATAAATAAAAATAATAAATAAATTTAACAATATTATAAAATAAAGAAATAAGTAAATAAATAAATTAAAAATAAAAAATAAGTAAGTTAATAAAATAAATAAAAAAAAATAAAAAAATAAGTAAGTTAATAAAATAAATAAAAATAAATAAATAAATTTAACAATATTATAAAATAAAGAAATAAGTAAATAAATAAATAAAAATAAAAAATTAAGTAAGTTAATAAAATAAATAAAAGAATTAAAAATTAAAAAAATAAGTAAGTTAATAAAATAAATAAAAAAATTAATAAATAAAAAAAATAAATAAATAAATAAATTAAAAATAAAAATAAATAAGTTAAAAAAATAAAAAATAAATAAATTAAAATAAATAAATTTAACAATTTTATATTATTTTTATGTGCAAAAAAGGTGGGGATTTCTAGGAATGAGATTTTTTCTCTAACACCAGAAAAATTTGAAAAAAAATATTGAATAGTTCTACTGAATCCCCATAACCCAAAACCATCCATAATTTCAAATAAAAATCATTTAAACTCAGTTTTTTCCTTTTTTCAAGTATTACTTATTTATTTATTTATTTTATTGAATTAATTTTTTATTATTATTTTTTTTTTAATTAATAAAATTGAATTTTGTCTTACATCATCTTTTTTATCTTATTTTGTAGTATAGTTGTATTACTTACATGGCTAATTATTTAGTAAGTTCTTCGGGTTGTTCTGTTGATGTTTTTTTTTTTTCAAGTTTTTTTAAATAAATTGTTGTTGTTGTTGATTTTCTGTGTGGCTTATTGTGACTTAGACGTATTTAAGTTTTTTTTAATTTTTTAAATACAATTAATATTTTATTTGAATGCTATTAAAAATATTTCTCATAGAGACAATAATTGCAAAATATTTTTTTTTTCATTTTTTTTTTCAATATTTTGTTGGGTTTTTAAATATATATTTTTTTTAACTAAAAATAAATGAGAAAATTTAATAAAGAGAATAAGAAATAAATAAATTAAAGTAATGCGTTGGGCAAAAGAAATAATTATATTGATTTTACTAAAACCTAACTAAAATTATTTTTTTTCTAAGAAAATATTTTTTTTCTAAAGAAAATAATAAAAAAATATTTTTTTTTTTCAAAAAACGAAATAACAATTTTTCTAAAAAAACTTTATTTCTTAAAAACGCATTTTTTCAAAAAAAAAAAAAAAAAAAAAAAAGCTTTTTTTCTAAAAAAATATTTTTTTTTTTAAAAAAACTAATTTTTTTTTCTAAAAAAAACTTTTTTTCTTTAAAAAACACAATTTCATTCAAAAGGCGAAATTAAGCAAAAAAAAAAAAAAAATCAATAAAGAGAATACAAATTAATACATGAAAGTAATGTGTAGGGCAAAACAAATAATTCTATTAATTTTACTAAACATTAACAAAAATTATTTTTTTTTCGAAAAAAAAAATAATTTATTTTTCTTTAAAAAAATTATTTAATTCTTTAAAAAAAAAATTATTCCAGAAGTCAGAAAACAATATAATTTTATTTGAATAATATTTAAAAATATTTCTCATAGAGACAATAATTGCAAAATATTTTTTTTCTCATTTTTTTAATATTTTGTAAGGGTTTTAAGTATTTAAAAAAAAAAATAAATAAAAAATAATAATAAAATAAATGTAAGTTATGCGTTGGACTAAACAAAAAAATATATTTATTATACTAAAACCTAACTAAAATTATTTTTTTCTAGGAAAATAATTTTTTCTAACAAATAAAAAAATATGTGTTTTTTTCTATAAAAAGAAATAACTTTTTTTTAAATCCTTACTTTTCTTCAAAAAACAAAAAAAAACTTTTTTCTAAAAAAATAATTTTTTTCTAAAAAAAAATAAATAAAAATAATTTTTTCTAACAAAATAATTTTTTTTCTAAAAAAAATATTTTTTTTTTCTAAAAAAATAATTTTTTTTTTTAAAAATAATTTTTTTTCTAAAAAAATAATTTTTTTTCTAAAAAAATATTTTTTTTTTAAAAAATAATTTTTTTTTAAAAAATAATTTTTTTTTAAAAAAATAATTTTTTTCAAAAGGCGAAATTAAGCAAAAAAAATCAATAAAGAGAATAAAAATTAATACATGAAAGTAATGTGTAGGGCAAAACAAATAATTCTATTAATTTTACTAAACATTAAAAAAAATAATTTTTTTTGAAAAAAATTATTTATTTTTCTTTAAAAAAATTATTTAATTCTTTCTTAAAAAAAAATTATTCCAGAAGTCAAAAAACAATATTATTTTATT